CAGAACGTGCCAATTCGTCACTAGTACAGCACACCGGTGTGTTGGAGAGCCAAGCCACAACATTTACAATCTGAGTACGACGTTTCGCCAGTAATTACAACTAGCTTCATCAGCCGACAGCCAGTTTTGTGGAGAAGTCCACCTGTTCCTTATATGGAGGCGTTGATGTGGTGACTACACTTAGTATGGTGGCCTGTATAGGCATGCATTTAAATAATGTATTATTTAATTATTCAATTCCACGCAGCACTAAGTTCGTAGTGTTGCATATGCCGGGTCTTGAACAATTTATAAAAATAATAAAACTTTAATGAAGATTAGGGAAATGCGTAATTATCCATAATTATACCAATGTATGCGATTATGCGCACAAATTATGCTAATTATGAAAGTGTAATCGTGTTAAGTTATGGACATGTATGTGATTATGCTAATGTATGCAGTTAATATAATTAGGTTTAGCTTCGTTGTCTAGGGTCGTATTATCAATCGGATATTACAATTATTCTCGCTTTAACATTTACTTATTATGTCTTAGTGTGTTAATGTCAGGTCTCCAAATTCAAATCTCACCGCAGTATACAGTTCTCATAATTGAGATTACTATGTATGAACTTAGGAAGGCACCACTCAGACTCTTTTGTGTTAAGCAATTTTAATTTCTAACCAAAAACATAACAGTCTAATATGCGAACTCTTATGCTTGGAATTGAACAACACAGTACCCCTGGAGATGTTCTCCTCATTGATCCGTACATTTAACCCTCAATTATTACGTTGTTAACTGGGTAACAGAACATTCGATTAATTCCTCAGAGTAATGCAAGCATATACGGCGATAGAAAAACGTTCTTAAAACATGCATGCGACGTTATTCATACGAACGGCAATAAAGATACATTTCCTGAAGGCAAAAGTATACGTCAATTAATGCATTGGCAAGATTTTGCAATTAACGAAAACGAATGACTAAAATACTTCTAAACGACCGCATCCACGTAACTCAATGGGCAGTAATGCTTTTCACGATCAGTTGATATTTAACGCACCACCTTGGAATGGCAACCCTTCTTGAAACACAAAGATAACTTTTTGGTACAATCTTATTAGTCCCGATATGCGTGTAGTGTGCGTGTGTCTTCTTTGATCAATTCTTTGCGTAAAGCAGACGCCGAGGTTGGGCATTCCTTGTACCAAAAATTCAGTTTGTTCCCTGCGGAGCAGTGAGCGTGTGAGGGTGGGCGTGTCATACAAACGGCTTCGTTGCTCCCTCTCGCTCGGGGAGTGTCTGCTGGCAGCTGCCGGCTCATTCCACTGCTGGATGAGCTGCGTCGGCACGATGCTTGTCCTTAAAGACGCTTGATCACTCTTTCCGTTCGTCCGCTGGCAGCTGCAGACACCTTCCACTGCTGGATGAGCTGGTTGCGCGCGCTCTCTCCTGCCCCGTGCTCTCTCCTGCCCCGTGCTTTTTGGCAATGCACCAGCTCGTTTGCTGGTCGCCGTTCCTCACTCTTGTCTTGGTTCCCAGCTGATGCTGGTCGGTGTGTGTGTGGGTCGAACCTACGGCGCTCTCGCTGGCGCTCTCCTGTTCCTCACGGGCAGCTGGTCAGGCTCTTTCTCCTGCTGGATGGGCTGAGTCGGCACAACGATTGTCACTTGTCCACTGGCAGCTGACACCCTTGCTCGGTGGCGCTCGGTGGCGCTGCTGCGTGCTCTCTGGCGACGCACGATTGCGCGTGCAGCTGGTTCTCTGCGATGCTGGCTTGGACGATGCTTGGCTCTTTCCGCCCTTTCTCGAGGTTGATTGCTTGACGTTGCTCGTCAGTTCAACTTGAGCTGCAGCTGCTCGTGGGAGCTGGGACTCACTCTCAAACATGTAAATTGTATTCGCACCCTCTTAAACAATTGTGAAAGCTTAGTACAATACAGCTTATCGCAATCCTTGACTTTGCGAGCGACTCAAAACATCAGGATGAATGTAGAATAAAACTTTCAGCGATACTCTGTCGGTCTATGCCGAACTCAACACCGAGCATCACCTCGCCCCTCTTCTCTGCGAGACACCACACCCATTGCTAATGTCGAGGCCAAGCCCCGCAGCCTGCTCCTTTGCAAGACTGAACTGCATGATCTGTGTCCGTGCTTAAGTGTGAAATTATCTCTCCTCTTTCCACGTCTCTTGCGAGAGAAAAAGAACAAATGCCCTCTGTCACCGTCCTCTCTCCGCGGTCGCGCCTGATTGCCCCCCCACCCTCTTCCCTTGGTGACCCCAGACAGGCTGTTTTCCGTCAGAGTTTATGTTTTGTTTGCATCCCCCCCCCCTCTTCATAGTGTTTGTTATCTCGAGGGCAGACACCCTTCATACGTATTTTATGGCTACCATGTCTTTGTGTCAAATTGTTGGAAGACAAAGGTGGCCGGGGAGGCTTTTATTCAATGGAATATATATTATCTGGTCTTGTGTGTGTTGGACCTATTTCTTGTATCTCTTATGAGTTTCCTCCGGTCTAATATCTCGTGGTTATTTTTTGTTTATGTTTAACCAAGATTCGTAATGCCCCTCGTTGTTACCACCATCATTCCGCGTGTTTTGCCAAGCTTTGTTATAAGTCTGTGTCGCCAGGGATCGGTGTTTTATTCTCCAGTTGTATTTTGATATCCGGAGGTTGGAGAGATAGCTTTAGCTTGGACTTAAGTTTTCGTGATTGCAGGAGCTCATGTATTTTGGTTAATTTGGTAAAGTCACGTAAATGGAAAGATACAATAAAAAAATATATATATGCGGTGAATAAGAGTAAAGTAAGGGAATTGATAATAAAGCCACTAATGTAGACTGCAGTCTATAATATCGACTTATTCTTATAGTCAAGCTTCGAACTTTTACCGTATAAAAAAAAAATATTCCAGTTATAATGTCCGTTTGTCTCTGCTATGTGCTCTGGAGATTTGTTTGTGAACTGTCCAAAACGTCCGGGGAGCTCATGTCATGTGGTCCTTTGACAATCTGGAGATTTTGCAGATAGTCGTTAACTTTCTTTTGCCCCGGAGTTTATTACTTAATGGCCTTTTACGACCTCCAGATGCTTGGTGCTTGTGGGAGGTAGCGGGTTTGAGGGTGTTTGTTTTATTTATTTTTTTATCGATTATTATTTAAAAATATATATTGGCAGAATTATTTTTTATATAATTTTTGGAAAAAGGCTTATATATACAACAGTAGCTATCCCATCGGTTAAAATGAGTATTTATTTATTTTAATTTCGATAGATTCTCTAATTAGTCTCGGTAACTAGTTTTGCACAGAACTTCAACATTAGCAAAATCAATTGAGTGTCCTTGTTGGCACGCGTGTTCTGCTACTGCTGACAGTTGTATTTGGGAGTATTGAATATTTATTTGCTTTTCTTTTAGTCTCGTGCTGATCATTCATCCTGTTTGCCCAACATAGCGTTTGCTACAAGTGCAATTAATCCTTTACACACCTTCTGTTGATAGCTTCGGTAACACATCTTTTGGACCAGATTAATTTCTGTATTTTATGTACCATGCCAAATCTCACTCGGATGTTTTCTTATTCAAAACATCTGGTTAGTTTATCAGTTACTCCCATAATGTACGGTATTTTAATAGTTTTAATTACTCGGGCAGTTTCAATGCTCGTGTTATTTGATTTGGTTTTGGTATTCAATGCCCTGTTGATTTGTGCATCAATGTAATCGTTCAATTGCAGCGCTTCTATAAATTGTTTAATTGCACTTCTCAGACTATCACCATCCGACACTTTCTTAGCCCAATGAATGAGAGTCTTGATGAGAGCAGATTTATGTGCGGGGTGATGGTGTGACTCTGCATTCAGATAGGCGTCAGTGTACGTTTTCTTTCGGTAAACGCCGTGTTATTTTACCATTTTGACCCAGTCCGAGCAAAATATCCTGAAATGCTAGAGTTCTGTCAGCTTCCAATTCTAGGGTGAACTGGTTGGATGGGGTTGGCGAGTTGAGATGATTTAGATATTCGTTAAGTGTATCTTTGCCGTGTGGCCAGACCACCAATGTGTCAATACATATTTAAACCAAGCAGCACACCGCTGTATTGGAGAGTAAATCCACAATATTTACAATTCGAGTATGATGTTTCGCCAGTAATTACAACTCGCATCATCAGGCAACAGCCAGTTTTGTGGAGAAATCCCCGTTTCGTTCTTAAATCGAGGGATAAATATGATGTCATGTCCCCGTAAAAAAGTGATTTAATACATTACAGATTTTTTTCATGATTACGGATTAATGAGTCTCAAACAAAGAGAAACATCCTCCGAATAGCCTTACAGACTGTTGGGGCAAGTGCTGTTAACGAGCACATAATGCAAGCCGGCACGGCACACAAGGGGGTGGGTGGCCAGCACCACCTCCAGCCGCTTTTGTCTCCCGAGGTGGCGTTGTTTATACACTGCACCAGATACTCGTTTTGAGGCTGAGTCGACCTAGGGGAGGCCCATGACCCGTTCAAATTAATCGTCACAGGTGTTGGTCGTTATCAGGAATCAAACCCAGGTGGCCAGGTTCATAGCGCAGCGCGCTAACCACTACACTACCGCTCCCTACATACACACACAGTCCAGTGGCTATCGCTGATGACATTCGAACACCAGTGGTGGATACCTCCCAGTGTTCCACCAAACCCCGTGTTGAACAGCTTTAAAGTATGGTGCATAACAGGCCGCACGGGTTAGGAGAGCCTCCCCGTGGCCAGTCGATTGACAGACGGTCGGCAGCAGATTGTCGTTCTTCTTGTTGCCACGGTGGTTAGGAGATGTTAACAAACTCACCTGGTATACAGAAGGTCGTGGGTTCGATTCCAACACTGATGCAAGCTGTATATTTGGAGTGTGCATGTTCGCAGCATGGTCACGTGGATTTTTCTCTGTGTCCTCTGGTTTTTACCTCCACATTTAGAAACATCCATTGAGAGTTTTGCTGCAATATATTTTCACTTAATAAGCCACTTCGTTGAGTTGTCATTTGTTACCAGGTCGCTTCTGAAAAAGAGCTATCTATATAGCTCAGTGGGGCCTTACCTGGTAATATAAAAGTTCAGTTTGGTGGTTAAGGCATTGTCCAACTACTGCTATTGTATATTCTCACGACTCCTTTCAGCCTGGATGTTCATTCTCCCCACTGAATTCCGCAATAGTCGTGTACACTGTGACGTCTTCTCCGAGAGATTGGCGAGGCTGTGCGCAAGGTGGTAGATGCTCCGTTTAAAGGTTTGCGTACACGATCTGTCCAAAGACAAAGATCCCCGTTATCGCCTATATACAGATTGTAAGGGCAAGTATTGTTAGCAAGCAGCATTTGTGAACGGCGGGAAGTCACACGAGAGTGTGGGTGGCCAACACCACGCCCGACCGCCATCGTTTTTACAGTGGCCATGTTTTGATACATCACACCAGGTACTCATTCGAGGCTGAGTCGACCTCGGGGTCAAATAATCGTGTTGGCTATGAGATGTAGTAGACCTGGGGTTGCTGAATTCGTAGTGTAATGGGTACTGCAAAATCCGACCGTGTCTTTCCAGTGTTCGCTGAGCTGCTTGTCTTCCAGTTGCCATATTAGTATATTATAAGGTCGAACTCATTACGCAAACAAAGTGCTTCCCACAAATGAATGATAATACCTCGCTGATTTTGTTAAGGAGTGTTGGTTTGTTATTGGGGGGGGGGCACCGGGGAGCAGTGGAACATGTTGTTGATTGCGGGAGATGTCGCAGTTATGGGATTATGAGGAAGGTTTTTTTGTCGTTGAGGCTCCTCGGTTTAAGGGTGTTGCCCTGCCTGCCGCCGGTTGCCGCTGCTGTGTTAACAGCCGGGATGGTTGTTCTTATAACGGAGGGGGGGGGGGTGATGTAGTGACATGGCGCTGACTTTTGGACAACAGAAACAACTGGAGGTGTGCACTTAGAGCATATGCCGCTGAGTATATACGCTGGTGTGCCGGCAGGGCGGAGGAACTGGGGCAAGGGTCATGGTCGACCTCGTGTGGAAGCCGCTGGAACCCTCTGGAGGGTTCGAGAAGGGAGATGCGGCGAGGGCGGAGCCAAGTCGCACTGAGGGGAATATAAGCAGCGGAGAGCGAGAGCTCTGGGCTTCCGGTTCTGGTATTGGACTCGTCTCGCCATCACTGTGGTCGTCGCTGCCCTCATTGCTACCACCTTCGCCCAATGATTGCGTAACCAGACAGTATTTGGCTGGCTCCGTCGATGCCGCTGGTGTAACGCGGACAGGATCGTGTCTGGGACGGGGCGCGCGGCAGCGGGGTTGTGTGTGAGAGAGAGGGCCCGAGTGGTGGCGTGAGCTCAGCAACAACAATAAAAGGGCAGAGTGGTGCCTCCTGCGACCACCTCGTCTCCAGCTGACATTGTGTGCGACGTACGCCACCTGCACGCACAGACGACACAACACATGTTTGGGTGTTGCACTTTTTTCATACTGTACATAGCCAACCATGCTTATCGGAGGTGCGGGGGAAGGACAACAAACTAAATACAAAAAAGCAGATCTGGCTTTTGCGACCAATAAAATCAATAATAAAACATTTGTGGGTTAGATCGCACCACCTGACAGCCAATTATTAAGGGTTGTCACATCAACAAAACGTGCTTATTACTTATTACCTCAGCACACCGGTGTGTTGGAAAGGCAACCCACAACATTTACAATTCAAGTACCATGACGTTTCGCTGGTGATTCAATTAACATCCAGCTTCATCAGGTGATAGCCAGAATTTTGAAGTAAAATAAGAATTGAGTTTTCGAAAAATGAGATCACGCACCTCACTCGTCTCCATTTCCTCCAAGCGACGAGTCTCTCCAACAGGGTGCGTCTCTCCCGAGTCTCCGTTCCTTCTACCACCACCACTATCATCAATACCATCACCATCACCACGGCTGAAAATACTTTTCATTTTCTTCCAGCAACACCAATTCCTGCTGTGGTAGCGGTGGTGGCACCGGTAGAGAAGTACCATCAGCACCAGAAGGAAGATCAGAGCCCACGCGGTTATGGCGATGGACGCATTGCCGCGCGAGGGCGAAACCATCGATGGCACCGTTGATGGCACCGGCGATGTCGCTGCATGCGTCGTAGCAGCGGTACCTGTTGCAGAGAAAGGGACACCGCAATTGGTGGTGGCTAGGAGATGTTAAATACCTCGCCTGGTATACAGGGGTTCGTGGGTTCGATCTCGACTGCCGCCTGCTGTACATTTTAAGTTTGCGTGTCTTTCTCCCTGCGGTCGCGTGGATTCTTCTCCGAGTCCTTCGGATTTTTCCCTCCACATTTAGAATCAACATAAACGCTTTTAAAGTATTTGGCTGCTTTAAATTTCCACGTAATGAGCCACTTCGTTGAGCTATCATTTTGGCCAAGTCCCTTCTGAAAAAAAGAGCTATATAACTCAGTGGGCCTTCACCTTGTCACCTTCTGCCGTCAGGTCGAAATCGACCTCTGGTGACATCCACGACCAGACTCCCCCATCAAAACCTGTCTCTCACTGCCTCTCGCAGCTGGGTTAGTGTAAGGCCAGTGGTGTTCTTGATGTCGTCCATCCATCTCCTCTGAGGTCGACCTCTGACCCTGCTACCTTCTCCATTCCCAAGCCAGACTGATTCCTCTAGTCCAGAGGTCCTCATAACGTGTCCAAAGTAATTAAATTTCTGCTTCATGAAAAAGGCCTTGAGTGGAAGAGCGGGACCGATCTCTCTCAGGACAGACATGTTTGGGATTTCGGCTGTCTTTAGTTTATGTCGCATTCTTCTCCAGCACCACATCTCAAATGCGCTGATCCTCTTTCGCTCGCTTAATCTCTGGGTCCACGACTCACATACATATATGGCAATAGGAAATATCAGAGCTTTGATAAGCCTCTTCATGGTGCTTATGGTAATGCCCTTGTCTCTCCATATCTTATTGAGCTGTGAAATGGCTATTCTACTGAGAAGTGACCGCCTACTGATCTCGTGGCTAAATTCTCAGTCTTTAGCAGTCAAGGAGCACAGGAATACAAAGTTCTTTGCAACTTTTATTGATGCATTTTCCAGACTAAATGAGTTTACTTGTTCTATTGCCATCATCTTTGTCTTTTGGAGATTGAGGCACAGCTCAACCTCCTCACTAGCTTCTTTAATATTTACCAAGAGTCATAATTTCAGCTTTGCTATATAATGGTAGGGTGGTATCATCAGCATCTCTTAAGTTGTTTATTCTTCTGTCTCCAATCTTCACGCCTGCTTCAATGGAATCCAGGCCTGTCTCTCGCATAATACGCTCATTGTACAAATTGAATAGGTAAGGAGACAGTATACAGCCCTGTCTTACTCCTTTCCCAATGTCAAATTCTTGTGTCTCCCCATATTCTAATCAAACTGTTGCTCTTTGATTGGCATATATATTATGTAACACCGTGGGCCTTACCTGGTAATTTTTTTTTTTAGATTAAACTTTCTCCCAACTAACGTTGAAGGTGTTAATGCATAAGCCCTTTCTGCCTGTCTGTCTGTAACACGACGACCCTTGAAAATATGATCCTACAGGAACAAAGCTTCAGCAAAATTATATGTTGCTATTAGGGCTTACCGAATTGTGAAAAAAATTAAATGTATAAAAGTGGTGTACAAACGTTTGAGGTACACGCCAGAGCAAAAAAGTGTTAATTGCAAAATCGCAAGTAGTGTTTTGTCCTGGAAGATACCGGTACAGGATCCGTACTGCTGATTAAACACTTTCAAGGACAAATGTGCATCGGTAAGCGTTAAACAATCTACCTATTTGCGTGTGCACGATATTACTTTGATTCAACACGTCGTAGGCTTCCGCGACCAATATAATATTTTTCTTCTTGGTTCTTTCGATAAAGTCACCTAGAAGGGAAATAATAAAATAATACAAATTTACATAATAAAATAAAAATTCTCACAATGGTGGGAATTTTTATTTTAAAAGGTTTAAATCGAAATTCAATATTATATTATTAAGCTGTTGTGGGCAAGATCGCGCAGATGTTTCATAAACAAAGGTGGGAGGGAGGAGAGGGAGGGCGTTTCGGAGAGGCCCCACAGAAGGAGCAGCGGCAGCATCTGAAAGCGCCGTGCGATGCGGTTTGACCTCCTCCCGCACCTCCGATTAGCACGGTTGGAAATATACGGTGCGAAAGAAGTTCCACATGCATGCATGCATACGACTGCCTTCGTTCGATGGTGAGGTCATCATCCCCGGCTGTCTACAAGGGCAAATGGGGAACAGGCGCGAGGGCAAAGAACCGCCATGTGCATCGCCCACTTTACCCCTCCTGCCCCCCCTAGCAAGCTACTCACCTCACTGACCCAGGTGGCCATTTCGCATTCGTAAGTGTAGCAGGAACGCATTGCGGTAGGCTCCGGCCACAGATGCCCGACGTGAGTAAAAGGGAATCGCTCGCTTTGTTTCCCATCTAAGAGTCACCGCTCCCGTGTCGCTGCAGCTCTTAGTCTTGCTTTGCCCTCGGGTCCTCATGAAGTTTTTCGTGAAGACTTGTAGTCGTGTTTTGCGTTTTGCTTTATTACTTTTCTCAATTAAGCACAGTGCATCATCACTTAATTCCTTCCTAATAATTGCGAGGAGTTTCAGAGCGGCGAGTCTTTGCACCGTCGTTTTACAGAGTCAAAAAGAAACTGGATCCTAGTTTGTTAGTTGCTCATTTTAAAAGAGATGCGAATCAGTTGATGTTGAAGATTTGTCTTTTTTATATATTTATATAATAGCATGGGCGCTGTTGAGGATTTCTTGTTGGACAATCGTTTAAGCTAGTTGCGATAACTTAGCAGTGATCTGTATCAAACTCCAGGCTACAGTATGCTCTGAGATTTGGCGGAGTTTCTATCAAGAGTAAATTAGTACGCAGTCAATGGTGTTTCTGTATTTGGCCATGATTTGATCTCCAGGTATGTGAATATTGTGGCGCTGGAACCACGTGCCACCTATTCTGAGCCCATGTCATGCACAGAAATGAACGAACCTTCCTGAGTTGTCGGGGATACTAAAACTAAACTATTATTTTTTTATCAGGTCAGGCCCCACTTAGCTATGCAGCTATTTTTTCAGAAGTGACTTGGCCCCAAATGATAGCTCAACAAAGGGGCCCATCACGTGGAAACGTATAGCAGCAAAATACTTTAAACGCGTGATGTTGATTAATATGTGGAGGATTAGGACAAAAATGTACGGAGAGTGAGAGAGAAGCCAACTCCAAATATACAGCAGCAGGTGTCAGAGTCAGGATTGAACCTCCGACCTCCTGTATACCAGGCGACTAAGATATCATATCGCCACCGTGAAAAACATAGCATATAAGTTAAAAGTGCTACTCATTTAGCCAACCCTTTCAAGGATGATGGCTGAGTTCATCCCCCCAACCAAGGATTTCAACTTGGGACGTTCTGATTGTGAGCTGCTCACTCTGGATGCCAAGCCGCCCGAGCGAATTTTTGATTTTGCAGTGCAATTGAGTTAACGTTGGGAGAGAGAAAAATAAAATTGTTATGCTCAAGAGTAATAGTGTGTTGTGATTCAAAGGTTCGTGATTTTCATTTAGGAATCATTTTTCCTTACATTGTAGTGAATATAGCGGTCTCTAGTATCTCCAGGGAAAAGTTAGCTGAATACATAGAGCACATGCATGCAGGTAAACAATGGATTCTTACAAACAAATAATATTAATGTTTTGTGATGTTAAGATATATTAATCGATGCATCATTAAAATTGTTGGAAACTAAAACCACAAGTGTGTAGTTTTATTCCAGTGAGTGAATGGTTAATTTGAATTCATATATACAGTGACGGAAAAAAGTATTTGATCCCCTGCTGATTTTGTACGTTTGCCCACTGACAAAAAAATGATCAGTCTATAATTTTAATGGTAGGTTTATTTGAACATTGAGAGACAGAATAACAACAACAAAATTCAGAAAAACGCATGTCAAAAATGTTATAAATTGATTTGCATTTTAATGAAGGAAATAAGTATTTGACTCCTCTGCAAAACATGACTTAGTACTTGGTGGTAAAACCCTTGTTGGCAATCACAGAGGTCAGACGTTTCTTGTAGTTGGCCACCAGGTTTGCACACATCTCAGGAGGGATTTTGTCCCACTCCTCTTTGCAGCTCTTCTCCAAGTCATTAAGGTTTCGAGGCTGACGTTTAGCTTTGTGGCATTACCTTCAGCTCCCTCCACAGATGTTATATGGGATTAAGGTCTGGAGACTGGCTAGGCCACTTAAGGACCTTAATGTGCTTCTTCTTGAGCCACTCCTTTGTTGCCTTGGCCGTGTGTTTTTGGGTCATTGGCATGCTGGAATACCCATCCACGACCCATTTTCAATGCCCTGGCTGAGGGAAGGAGGTTCTCACCCAAGATGTGACGGTACATGGCCACGTCCATCGTCCCTTTGATGCGGTGAAGTTGTCCAGTCCCCTTAGCAGAAAAACACCCCCAAAGCATAATGTTTCCACCTCCATGTTTGACGGTGGGGATGGTGTTCTTGGGGTCATAGGCAGTATTCCTCCTCCTCCAAACACGGCGAGTTGAGTTGATGCCAAAGAGCTCCATTGTGGTCTCATCTGACCACAACACTTTCACCCAGTTGTCCTCTGAATCATTCAGATGTTCATTGGCAAACTTCAGACGGGCATGTATATGTGCTTACTTGAGCAGGGGCACCTTGCGGGCGCTGCAGGATTTCAGTCCTTCACGGCGTAGTGTGTTACCAACTGTTTTCTTGGTGACTATGGTCCCAGCTGCCTTGAGATCATTGACAAGATCCTCCCGCGTAGTTCTGGGCTGATTCCTCACCGTTCTCATGATCATTGCAACTCCACGAGGTGAGATCTTGCATGGAGCCCCAGGCCGAGGGAGATTGACAGTTCTTTTGTGCTTCTTCCATTTGCGAATAATCACACCAACTGTTGTCACCTTCTCACCAAGCTGCTTGGCGATGGTCTTGTAGCCCATTCCAGCCTTGTGTAGGTCTACAATCTTGTCCCTGACATCCTTGGAGAGCTCTTTGGTCTTGGTCATGGTGGAGAGTTTGGAATCTGATTGATTGATTTCTTCTGTGAACAGGTGTCTTTTATACAGGTAACAAGCTGAGATTAGGAGCACTCCCTTTAAGAGTGTGCTCCTAATCTCAGCTCGTTACCTGTATAAAAGACACCTGGGAGCCAGAAATCTTTCTGAATGAGAGGGAGTCAACTACTTATTTCCCTCATTAAAATGCAAATCAAATTATAACATTTTTGACATACGTTTTTCTGGATTTTTTTGTTGTTATTCTGTCTCTCACTGTTCAAATAAACCTACCATTAAAATTATAGACTTATCATTTCTTTGTCAGTGGGCAAACGTACAAAATCAGCAGGGGATCAAATACTTTTTTCCCTCACTGTATGTAGGCGTTTTATTACAGCTCAAGCTTTGTGGCATTACCTTTAGAGGTTACCGTCAAGTTGTACACCATGCCATGATGATGATCAGCTCTGCTTGTTTCCAGAAAACAGAGGTACATTCCACTCGCGTTCGCTGGGACTGAAATCAGAGTGATGGAGCCATTTCCACTGCTCAGGTTCCCAGACAAAACCACGTAGCAGAAAAGTGGGTTGCAGGGTGTGACAAATTGAATGCCACGAAATAATATCTGTGGAACAATATTTATTACACGTTTAGCAATGTTATTAATTGATGCACGTGAGTGTTTGTTTATTCGCACCAGTAGGCTGGCATCACACTCTCCCAAAAACTATGCGGAAGAGCTCTATTGGAAATCTGCTGTTAAATTCAGATTGAACCATTCAAAACGATTGTTGTAAAGTAACGTCGAGTTATGTAAAAAAAACATATTTCATCCCTAGATTTAATTTAGGATTGGGGTTAAAATCGACAACTTAATATTTTTAGATTTTTACAAGTAAAACATTGACGCAACTATATCAGTTGCCACACTTATTATTTTTAACGCTTCTAAAACATCGGTAGAATTTGAATGTATATTATTTTACATTGTGCACCTCGCAGCAATAAAAATCCCCTTGCGTTAACAGAAGGATTTTGACTGACACCCAAAACGGGGGACCTGGGAGCCAATTGCAGAACTCTGAGCACTGGGGGATGTTTGATCTCAATTCACCTTGTCCACCTAGAACCCCTAGCAGCCCGCATTTCGCACAAGCTGGAGTCAATGAAGAAGCTATTCGGGCAGTCCAGCAAACAGCGGTTTGCAATCGTGATTCCTAGAGGTTATAGTAGCACGTGACACGCAATCTCGACATCGCTCTGATTTCAAAGGGGCATATTGGGCTACATTTCTGAAATGGTAGAAAGCTGAGCTAACTACAAATGAGAATCACCCCTCTAAACCAGCATTGATATTAATGGCGATGCCAAAGCTTCGCACAAATTATGAATGTAGCCAGCAACATTAAGAGAATGAAAACATTTATTTAGACAGAATGAATCCGATGCGCCATGGAGATCTTTTTCACACATGTCCATTCGCCTTCTTGGTTCTTTCGGTAAAGTCACGTAGAAGGGAAGTAATAAAATAATAAAAATAAAACATAATAAAATAATTCGCACGACGTTTCGGCTACAATGCAAGCAGCCGTCTTCAGGTGAAGAATGAGACACTACCAAGCTAGGAGCTTATATATACGCTGGGTTGGAGGTGCAAGAAGAGCGCCTTAACAAAAAGAATGTGCATTTGAAGAGGAATTTAGCATATTCATGGGAAATGCGTAGGAGGTGGGCGGGGTGGTTTCAAAGTCATATTATGCCCATGCATTATGCAGGATCAGCAGCACCAAGGGAGGGTGTACGGAGTAGCATTAACAAAGGAAAGGAATGTTAATAGTATGTAGCTGCAGTTACTAAACAACCACGTAGAAAACTAAAGTATAAACTACATAACACCATCAGTGTACTTACTATACTCTACAATAAGCTGAGTTACTCACAGCAAGTAAGACATTACAATTGTACGTCGTAAAAATTATATAATATGCTTCCATCTAAACTTTATTCTCTTACATCACACGAGCATACACCGTACTATATGCTGCCATAGATAAACCCAACATTAAATTATATACTCTATTGCTTTAAACCACCATTTTATTATTCTACCCACCTTAATGTGTATCACACTCTATATGTGTACTATACAATTACGATACTATATATTACTTTGTACATTGTATTAAGCATATAAATGTTATACTATTTGTTATTATACACTGTACAATAAAAAGAGACCCCACCAACAGCCTCGTCACTGAAACCAACAAAATTGTTTCTGATTCAACCGCATTAATTGATCAGACCAAACAGTTCTCGTTGAAACCTTCTGCAGCCAGGCCACCAAGATTATACGGTTTGCCAAAGATACATAAAGAAGATACACCTCTTCGTCCCATTGTCTCTACTATCAACTCCCCCACCTAAAAATTGGCTCGTTTTTTGTCTGAAATCCTACGACCTTTCACTGGAAAAACCACCTCTGCGGTACTAAACTCTACTGACCTGGTATCGACAATCAAGGGGATTGCCCTGTCCCCAGACGACCTGCTTGTCAGTTTTGATGTGGTTTCCTTATTCACCAAGGTTCCTGTACCTGACACCATCGCAATCATTGAAGACTTGGTTCATCAAGGACTGAATGCTGGGGTACCCCCCATGGTGAGACACTGCTTAACCAATACATACTTCACCTGGAATGGAACTTTCTACAAGCAAACTGAGGGCACCCTAATGGGCTCCCCCCTATCTCCGGTTGTAGCCAACATCTTCATGGAGAAATTTGAGACGGACGCCATCCAGACTGACTATCACTCTACGCCCGACCTTATGGAAGAGGTACGTAGATGACACTTTTGTCATCTGGCCACATGGCCGGCCTGCTCTAGACCAATTTCTCGACCACATCAATTCCATACACCCAGCCATCAGATTCACCATGAAAGTCGAAAAAATGGCAAGCTACCCTTTTTGGATGTCCTAATCAAAAGGAGACCTGATGGTTCAATGAGCCACTCTGTCTACAGGAAAGCCACCCATACGGATGCTTACCTAAAACCGGATTCCCACCACCATCCATCCCAGAAGAATTCTCTCATCAAGACTCTATATCATAGAGCCCAATGCATCTCCGACCAGGAACACATTTCCAGTGAACTCAAACACGTACGCCAAGCTCTTAAGGCTAATGGTTACTCCGACTACACAATCCGCAAAGCCATCACTCCAACCATCAAGAAGGATCCTGTTGAGGAGTCTTTCAAGACCATCACCTTACCCTACATTGCTGGGGTCACAAAAAAAAAGATCTCCAAAATCCTGATTAAACACAAGATCCAGGTCCGATTCAACACAGTACACAAAATCCGTGATCTGGTACCGTCTGTAAAAGATGTGGTTCCAGACATACAGTACCCTGGCGTCTACAAACTAAGTTGCCTCTGTGGTAGCAGGTACATTGGAGAAACCAAACGACATGTCTCGGACCGCATCCGTGAACATAAAGCAGACCTGAAACACGGTTGAACTTACTCCTCAGCCGTGGCAGATCACTGTTACAACTCAGTGGGCTCACATGACATTGACTTCTCCAAGACAGAGGTTCTCTGCAAGCCATCTGGCTATCATGAGAGATTCGTTCATGAGGCGATCCACATATACAAACACAGAGACAATTTTAACCGAGAAGATTGATTCTGGCTTAGCAATCATTGGAAGGACGTAATAAACCATTTCAGATCTTAACTGATTGTGTTCACGTTTACGGTGACTTTCAGACCGCGTTTCCACTCACGGGCATTGTATTCTCCGCAGGGAATGGATTCTTTGCTCCGCTGCAAGTTTCCCCCCACGACTCACCCATTGACACGACGGTCAATTGTACAGTGTATAATAACAAATAGTATAACATTTATATGCTTAATACAATGTACAAAGTAATATATAGTATCGTAATTGTATAGTAAACATATAGCAGTGTGATACACATTAAGGTGGGTAGAATAATACATAGTGTTATATTAAAATGTATACGGTTTAGGGTGATTTATAGCAATACAATATATAATTTAATGTTGGGTTTATCTATGGCAGTATATAGTACGGTGTATGCTCGTGTGATGTAAGAGAATAAAGTTTAGATGGAAGCATATTATATAATTTTTACGACGTAGAATTGTAATGTATTACTTGCTGTGAGTAACTCAGCTTATTGTAGTATAGTAAGTACACTGATGGTGCTATGCAGTTTATACTTTAGTTTTTTATGTAGTTTATACTTTAGTTTTCTACGTGGTTGTTTAGTAACTGCAGCTACATACTATTAACATTCCTTTCCTTTGTTAATGCTACTCCGTACACCCTCCCTTGGTGCTGCTGATCCTGCATAATGCATGGGCATAATATGACTTTGAAACCCCCCCGCCCACCTCCTACGCATTTCCCGTGAATATGCTAAATTCCTCTTCATATGCACATTCTTTTTGTTAAGGCGCTCTTCTTGCACCTCCAACCCAGCGTATATATAAGCTCCTAGCTTGGTAGTGTCTCATTCTTCACCTGAAGACGGCTGCTTGCGTTGTAGCCGAAACGTCGTGAGAATTATTTGATTATGTTTTATTTTTATTATTTTATTACTTCCCTTCTACGTGACTTTACCGAAAGAACCAAGAAGATGAATCCCTGCAGTCACGAAAGCTTTAAATCGAAATTCAAACCTATGTACTTACCAACATTATACATTATTTTAATTATTAAGAACAAAGGGGTGCAGGGCTGCATTAAAGGTTAAGAAGCACTGGCTTAGACTGACGAGAGAGATATCTGGAAGGAACCTTGGCCTATGCAATAGTAGACTTGGAGACCGTAATGTATTTCGTAACATTATTTTGTATCGGCACATTCTGCACGAGTGATATTCACGCTGTGTGTAGCAATACAGACGGATATTGCACTGGGCTGATAATCCCTAAAGTGTGCTCAATTTTTCACACCACGTGTAACGAGAGATATTGCAATACTCACTGTTGTGTTAGACTGTCCATATCTCCATCGCACGCTGTCGATTATGGACGATGTTGAACAGTTAAGGAGCACATCTTCGCCTTCAACAGCCGCCATGTGCTGAATGGGGCTATTTGCTACATAAAGAAAAATGTGCAAAATGAATGCAGAGACCGCTAGCATTGAACGTTAATAGCTGGATATGACCAGCCTGGCAGCATCAACAAACCATGGCATTTCCACACACAGATCTCTGGGAAATGAATACAATATAACCCTCCGTATGCGCAGGCATCTGGAAATTTCTAGTTTTGCATATTCGCGAGTTACTAAATGCATACTAATTCACTATTCGCGAACCTGCCAGACTTCAGTATTCGAAAGTTGTACAAAAGTGCAGACAGACCGCAGAGTTTTACAACATTTGAAATGGTCCGTTGTGAATGAGACGTGCTCTCTCTGGGCCGCCCGCTTTGTCCTGAACTCGCTATTGTGCATTTTTTACTTTATACATACTTAAAGTTGACTCGGTTATACATTTTATGAATCGTCGTCAAATCATAATAATCATCGTCAAAGGTAAAACAAAATAATGTTCTGTGCAGTTTATTATTTATTTTAGCCATTGTTATTAAACGTTTGCCATTTCTTACCCCATGTTCACTTGTAACAGTAACAAAAGCACCATTTTCCCCCAGTAGAAACAAGGTTTCTGGATTCTCTAAATTCTGAATTGCGAGCAATTTTCAAGAACATAACGCTCGCGGATCGAGAGAGGGTTTACTGTCGAACATTACTCTGGGTGGCAGAGTGGGTGGAGAAGTGATGTCCCCTATTGTGAGGGTGAGATGTTCTTTCAAGAGGGATTTTATAGGTCGCTGTAAGGTTACGTATCTCTCGATTTAAAGCTTTCGTGACTGCAGGGATTCATCTTCTTGGTTTTTTTCATTAAAGTCACGTAGAAGGGAAGCAATAAAATAATAAAAATAAAACATAACAAAATAACTCTCACGACGTTTCGGCTACAACGCAAGCAGCCGTCTACAGGTGAAGAATGAGACACTGCCAAGCTAGGAGCTTATATATAAGCTGAGTTGGAGGTGGAAGAAGAGCACCTTAACAAAAGAATGTGCATATCAAGAGGAATTTAGCATATTCATGGGAAATGCGTAGGAGGTGGGCGGGGGGGTTTCAAAGTCATATTATGCCCATGCATTATGCAGGATCAGCAGCACCAAAGGGAGGGGGCAGGGGGTAGCATTAACAAAGGGGGGGAATGTTAATAGTATGTAGAAGCAATGAAACATGTGAATGGGAAAACGGTGGCAGGAGACCCGCAGCGGAGCAAATAATGCATTCCCTGTGGAGAACACAAGATACACAGTTAATGCCAGTGAGTGGACTGCGGTCTGAAAGTCACCGTAAACGTGAACAACAATCAGTTAAGATCCGAAATGGTTTATTACGTCCATCCAATGATTGCTGAGCCAGAATCCATCTTCTCGGTTGAAATTGTCTCTGTGTTTGTATATGTGGATCGCCTCATGAACGAATCTCTCATGGTAGCCAGATGGCTTGCAGAGAACTTCTGTCTTGGAGAAGTCAATGTCATGTGAGCCCACTGAATTGTAACAGTGATCTGCCACGGCTGAGGTGTTTGTCCTACCGTGTTTCAGGTCTGCTTCATGTTCACGGATGCGGTCCGAGACATGGCGTTTGGTTTCTCCAATGTAACTGCTACCACAGAGGAAACTTAGTTTGTAGACGCCAGGGTACTGTATGTCTGGAACCACGTCTTTTACAGACGGGGCCAGATCACGGATTTTATGTACTGTGTTGAATCGGACCTGAATCTTGTGTTTAATCAGGATTTTGGAGATCTTTTTTGTGACCCCAGCAATGTAGGGTAAGGTGATGGTTTTGAAAGGCTCCTCAACAGGATCCTTCTTGATGGTTGGAGTGATGGCTTTTCGGATTGTGTAGTCGGAGTAACCATTAGCCTTAAGAGCTTGGCGTACGTGTTTGAGTTCACTGGCAATGTGTTCCTGGTCGGAGATGCATTGGGCTCTATGGTATAGAGTCTTGATGAGGGAGTTCTTCTGGGATGGATGGTGGTGGGAATCCGGTTTTAGGTAGGCATCCGTATTGGTGGCTTTCCTGTAGACAGAATGGCTCATTGAACCATCAGGTCTCCTTCTAATTAGGACATCCAAAAAGGGTAGCTTGCCACATTTTTCGACTTCCATGGTGAATCTGATGGCTGGGTGTATGGAATTGATGTGGTCGAGAAATTGGTCTAGAGCAGGCCGGCCATGTGGCCAAATGACAAAAGTGTCATCTACGTACCTCTTCCATAAGGTCGGGTGTAGAGTGGCAGTCTGGATGGCGTCAGTCTCAAATTTCTCCATGAAAATGTTGGCTACAACCGGAGAAAGGGGGGAGCCCATTGGGGTGCCCTCAGTTTGCTTGTAGAAGGTTCCATTCCAGGTGAAGTATGTATTGGTTAAGCAGTGTCTCACCAGGGAAGGTACCCCAGTATTCAGTCCTTGATGAACCAAGTCTTCAATTATTGCAATGGTGTCAGGCACAGGAACCTTGGTGAACAAGGAAACCACATCAAAACTGACAAGCAGGTCGTCTGGGGACAGTGAAATCCCCTTGATTGTCGATACCAGGTCAGTAGAGTTTAGTACCGCAGAGGTGGTTTTTCCAGTGAAAGGTCGTAGAATTTCAGACAAAAAACGAGCCAGTTTCTAAGTGGGGGAGTTGATAGTAGAGATAATGGGACGAAGAGGCGTATCTTCTTTATGTATCTTTGGCAAGCCGTACAATCTTGGTGGCTTGGCTGCAGAAAGTTTCAACGAGAACTGTTTGGTCTGCTCAATTAATGCGGTTGAAGCAGAAATGATTTTGTTAGTTTTGGAGACGAGGCTGTTGGTGGGGTCTCTTTTTATTTTTGCATAGCTGCCATCGTTGAGTAGTTCCTGAATCTTGTTGTTGTATTCTATTTTGTCCATGATGACAGTGGCATTGCCTTTGTCGGCTGAGAGGATGACAATGTCATCCCTCTTTTTTAATTGAGCTAATTCAAAACGCTCAACTTTGCTGATGTTGCTAGCAGGCATCTTAGCGTTTTTGAGGGTTGCAGAGATTTCCGATCTTGCTACGTCTGCAGCGATGTGACTCAGGCCCTTGAGAGCTACATCTATTCGGGCAATTATATCATTAACTGGTATGTGTCTAGGTGTGACTGCAAAGTTTATTCCTTTAGCTAGAACGGATTTCAGACCTCCAGAAATAGAACTGTTACTGCGATTAATAACGACTTTGTTAGCGTCTAGCTTTTCTATGTGTGGGTCCAGTCTCTTGTTTGAGAGGCGGTTGAATTTGGAAATCAAGTTGTCCTTACATTTGGTCGACATAGCGGCAGCCGAAGAGGTAGTCATTTTGTCTACATGTTCCCAATCCGATGTGGACATTGTTGCACTCAAAGATAAGTGTGATTTGTAGAGTGTCTTGTCTAACTGATCAAGATCGGTGCGCGTGAGTCTGATTTTCTCTGAGATAAGAGCTAAGCTAGTTCTAGACAGAATTCGTTTAGCATTAGAAGAAGTTACAGCAGCAGATGTTAGTGTAAATGCGTTTGGTATTACCTTAGAGTCGCGGCATCTCTTCAGAAAGGTAAGAGACTCGATTAGCTGAGCCTTCTTATCACGGAGCTTGTTGAAGGATCTCAAAGTTATGTGGAATCCCTCCGCGTAGAGGCGGTTAAATTTCGATTTAAAGCTTTCGTGACTGCAGGGATTCATCTTCTTGGTTTTTTCGGTAAAGTCACGTAGAAGGGAAGCAATAAAATAATAAAAATAAAACATAACAAAATAACTCTCACGACGTTTTGGCTACAACGCAAGCAGCCGTCTTCAGGTGAAGAATGAGACACTGCCAAGCTAGGAGCTTGTATATAAGCTGAGTTGGAGGTGGAAGAAGAACGCCTTAACAAAAGAATGTGCATATCAAGAGGAATTTAGCATATTCATGGGAAATGCGTAGGAGGTGGGCGGGGGGGTTTCAAAGTCATATTATGCCCATGCATTATGCAGGATCAGCAGCACCAAAGGGAGGGGGCAGGGGGTAGCATTAACAAAGGGGGGGAATGTTAATAGTATGTAGAAGCAATGAAACATGTGAATGGGAAAACGGTGGCAGGAGACCCGCAGCGGAGCAAATAATGCATTCCCTGTGGAGAACACAAGATACACAGTTAATGCCAGTGAGTGGACTGCGGTCTAAAAGTCACCGTAAACGTGAACAATAATCAGTTAAGATCCGAAATGGTTTATTACGTTCTTCCAATGATTGCTGAGCCAGAATCCATCTTCTCGGTTGAAATTGTCTCAGTGTTTGTATATGTGGATCGCCTCATGAACGAATCTCTCATGGTAGCCAGATGGCTTGCAGAGAACCTCTGTCTTGGAGAAGTCAATGTCATGTGAGCCCACTGAATTGTAACAGTGATCTGCCACGGCTGAGGTGTTTGTCCTACCGTGTTTCAGGTCTGCTTTATGTTCACAAATGCGGTCCGAGACGTGGCGTTTGGTTTCTCCAATGTAACTGCTACGACAGAGGCAACTTAGTTTGTAGACGCCAGGGTACTGTATGTCTGGAACCACGTCTTTTAGAGACGGGACCAGATCACGGATTTTATGTACTGTGTTGAATCGGACCTGAATCTTGTGTTTAATCAGGATTTTGGAGATCTTTTTTGTGACCCCAGCAATGTAGGGTAAGGTGATGGTTTTGAAAGGCTCCTCAACAGGATCCTTCTTGATGGTTGGAGTGATGGCTTTTCGGATTGTGTAGTCGGAGTAACCATTAGCCTTAAGAGCTTGGCGTACGTGTTTGAGTTCACTGGCAATGTGTTCCTGGTCGGAGATGCATTGAGCTCTATGGTATAGAGTCTTGATGAGGGAGTTCTTCTGGGATGGATGGTGGTGGGAATCCGGTTTTAGGTAGGCATCCGTATTGGTGGCTTTCCTGTAGACAGAATGGCTCATTGAACCATCAGGTCTCCTTCTAATTAGGACATCCAAAAAGGGTAGCTTGCCACATTTTTCGACTTCCATGGTGAATCTGATGG